GATTTTGCTCAAACTCATCAAGGTATATAATTTGACCCTGCTGAAATTGGAATTATTGTATCTATGAGAAAACAGTGATCACCTCGTGTTCACTCACAGGACTGAAACATTATTTCACGTACTAAAATTGCTTATATTTTTCTTGAGTTGTGCCATTTTTAGGGACTTTGGCTCCAGCCTTGGTGCTCCTAAAGCACCAAGACTAGACTCCATTGCAGAGAACGGAGTTGAGGCATTCCATAGTACTCCATGGCCCATGGCAATGGTACTTAAAGACAGCATTCCCTGGAAACAGGGTCATTCTTCATTTGCTTTTTCTCTTGAAACCTTGTAATTTACTTTAGCAAAAGATGTTTGTTGACCATAAATCAATGATACAGAAACATCAGTAAACAGCTGGGTCGTTTTGAATATATCCTTTTTTTTTTGAGTTGGAGTCTCACTCTGTCGCCCAGACTGGAGTGCAGTGGCTGCTCCCGGACACCTCAGCCTCGACCTGCTGGGCTTGGCGATCTTTCCGCCTCTACTTTCCGAGCAGCCGGAACTACAGGCGCCCGCTACCACGCCCGGCTAATTTTTTGATTTTTATTGTAGAGATGAGGTCTCGCCTGCCCAGGCGGGTCTCGAACCCGCGGGCTCAGGCAGTCCACTCACTTCAGCCTCCCAAAGGCGCAGGATTACAGGCTGAGCCACCAAGCCCGGCTGAATATATCCTTTGTTAACCCTTTTATCTCCAGTGTAGTAAGTTCCTAATTAAGGTACTAGCCTAACTTAAGGTGGTTTGAATAGTCACTGACCACAATGAAAATAATGTTTTTTTCCCCTTAGAAATACGGTGAGTGCACTCACTGTGTATGCTAGCTAGTTTGTGCTATAGCTTAAAAAAGCATCTGGGGGTTTCTAAATCTTTATAAAGGTGAGCTTGTTTTTCTATCACAGTATTAAGGTTTTTATGGGATAAAAGTTTGGGTAGGTGAGAAGAATTGGATAAGATAAAATCAATGTACTGACTACATCTTATAATAAGAACTCATCTGAGCTGTACTTTATTTAGCGAGTCAATCAAAAAGACTAGAATTGATTCAAGGTCATGGAGATGTTTCCCAGTCTAAGTCATCTAGTCCATTCTTTAAATGTTACTCATGGATGACGTGGTCCTTTCACTTGCATCCTTCCAGAGGAATGTTGAAGGGACCAGGTCCATGACATGAGCAATTAAAAGCCCACAGAGGCCAGGTGTGGTGACTCATGCCTATAATCCCAGCAGTTTAGGGAGCCAAGGAGAGAGGACTGCTTGAGTCCAGGAGTCTGCAATCAGCTTGGGCAACATGGTGAGACACCGTCTCTACAAAAAAATTAAAAAATTAGCCGGGCGTGGTGGCACACGTCTGTAGTCCCAGCTACTTGAGAGGCTGAGGTGGGAAGATTACCTGAACTCAGGAGGTCAAGGCTGCAGTGAACTGTGATCGTGCTCCTATATTCCAACCTGGGCAACAGAGTGAGATTCCGACTCAGGGAAAAAAAAAAAAAAAAAAGCCTATATGGAACCCAGGAGTGGCCTTGGTGCTTTTGTCCCTGCCAAGGCCAGGCTGTCCAGGGGAGAGTCACTCTGGCATCGGTCAGTTTGAGGAGCTCAACTCCTCTCATTTATGTGATCGAGACTTCCCCTTAAACAGATCTGCCCAGAGGCCATAATGATAAATGAGGATTTGGGGTATCTGTGGATACATGGTGATGGTGCTGGGGAGATTCATTCCCGAAGAAGGACTTTTTCTTTTCCCAATTATACCTCCAGCACGTATGTAAACGTCTTGGATCAGATTTGAGAAATGTGGAAAATATTGATGAAACCATAAAATGCCTCAAGAGATGGAAAAGTAACTCAAAGCTGGAGTTCCAGAATGAAATGCTTTCTGTGTTTTGCTTACTGAGATTTCATCCCATTGGCATTTCCTGTCTTGTTAGGAGAAATTCCACCGGTTCCATCACTATCCACACTCCATTTGCATACCCTTCTGCACCTGGGTCCACATCTTGGAGAATCTTTTAAAAATTTTTTAACGTTCCAAAAGGCAAAAATTTCAAAAAATCAAAAAGAAAAACAAATACCAAAAAAAAAAAAAAAAAAAGAAAGAAAAGAAATCACATAAGTACAGAAGCAGAGACATTGCCAAGGAAATGTCAGGTGTCTCATACACAGGAAAGAAACTGACATGGAGACAGGAACATGGAGTCTCTGCGTGGCAGGATGAAGACATTTTGGAAATAGATAAGGGTGATGGCTGCACAATATTGTGAATGGAATGAAGACCACTGAATTGTACCATTAAAATGGTTCAAGTGGCTGACTATATGTTTTATATCTATTTTACCACAACTTAAAGTACTCCAATAATGTAATATACCAAATACTGTTGAATTGTACGCTTTAAATGAATAAGTTCTATGGAATGTGAATTTTATTTACATGTATTGAATATCTCAATAAAACTGTTAATGAACTGTCATGGAGAAAAAGAGGATCAAGCTTGCAAAAAAATAAAGACAAGTGAAATAGTAGAATCCCAGACTCTCAGTTTTCATTTCTATTCTTTTTTTTTATTTTTTGAGTCGGTGTCTCGTGCTGTCACTCAGGCTGGAGTGCAGTGGCATGATCATTGTTCACTACTGCCTCGCTCTCCTGGGCTCAGGTGATCCTTCCTCCTCAGCCTTCCAAGTTGCTGGGACTACAGGTGCATGCCACCACGCCTGGCTAATTTTTTGATTTTTTTGTAGAGATGAGGTCTCGCTACATGTCCCAGACTGGACTTGAACATCTAGGCTCAAGGAATCCTTCAGCCTCAACCTCCCAAAGTGCTGGGACTACAGGCATGAGCCACGGTGCCTGGCTGACCTAAGCTTCAAATTCATTAAAATCATTAACAATTTTAGAATGCTTATCAATTTCAAGATTTCCACCTATGATTTTATGTATTATAAACTATTTCATCAATTGCTTCTGCCCTATTACGAAACAGACTACAGTGCAATGCTATAGGCTGAAAAAGGCAACTAACTTGTCACTTAAGGTAAATTCAATCTAATTACTACAATTTCAAAAGTTCCTAAAAAGGATTGTAACTCGACCAAAGATGCGGCCTTTGTTTTTCATGCTGTTGGCTCTGTTATGCAGCCTTTGTTTTTTTAATAACAATGGCGATTAAAGCAATAAAAACTCAATATAAGAGGGAAAAGGTGGGGGAGAAGAAGGACTCACAGGAAGAGGAGTCATTTTATAATTTTTATTTTTTTCATTTGGAAGCTCACTCTGTTGTCCAGGCTGGAGTGCAGTAGCATGATCACGGCTCACCTCAGCCGCAACCTCCTAGGCTCTGGTAATCCTTCAGCCTCTGCCTCCTGAGTAGCTGGGACTACAGGCATGTGCCACCATGCCCGGCTAATTACTTTTATTTTTATGTTGTAGAGACGAGGTATCACTATGTTGCCCAGGCTGGTCTCTAACTCCTGGGCTCAAGCAATCCTCTCTCCTCGGCTACTCAAAGTGCTAGGATTACAGGCATGAGCCACTGCACCCAGCCTAATTTTATAATGTATCAAGATAAATAATCCCACCTCAGGCTTTATAATAAATAAAGCCACGCTTAATAGCAATGATAGAGCACTTGAATGTTTTAATTATGGCTCTAAGGGAAATTATTAACAGAATAAAATTTTAAATTTTTCTTGAGATGATACTAATTTTCTAAAAAACACTTAAGAATTCCAAAATAAAAGGTCACAATGCCTTCCTCAGGACAAATTCACTCTGTTCCCAATGATTCTACTGGAATCACAGTCAATGGAATCATCACAAACACAACAGTGTTTGTTTCCCGGATAGACTTTCTGATTTCTTATTCCAAGACAAAGAAAGATTGAAAAATCCAAACCAAGAAATTTTTCTCCAAAACAAACTCCGTATTGTTTGAATGATCCTCTTCTTAGCTGTGCAAAAATGCTTGATAGAGTTATTTTTAACTGGGGACAGAACATTCATTCTGGGAAGCGTTCAGATTTCTAATTTTATAATTAGCAGATATATATACTGTTGGTCAAAGACTAAGCCATCCATCATGCCCCTATCCACACTTAGGTGCAAGGTCATCAACAGACAGTTGATGTTACAGTTTTTAGGAATTAAAGTGCTGGGCGCAGTGGCTTGCACCTGTCATTCCAGCAGTTTGGGAGGCCTAGGTGGGAGGATTGCATGAGGTCAAGGGTTCGAGATCAGCCTGGGCAATATAGCGAGACCTCATCCCTACAGAAAAATAAAAATAATTAACCAGTTGGGCACAGTGGCTCATGCCTGTAATCCCAGCACTTTGGGAGGCTGAGGCGCGAGGATTGCCTGAGCCCAATAGTTCGAGACCAGCCTGGGCAACATGATGAGACCTTGTCTCTACAATAAATAAAAAAATTAGCCAGACATGATGGCATGTGCCTGTAGTCCCAGCAACCTGGAAGGCTGAGGCAGAAGGACTGTCTAAGCCCAGGAGGTCAAGGCTGCAGTAGCCATGACGTTCCATTGCACTCCAGCCTGGATGACAGAGTGAGATCTCAACTCACCAAAAAAAAAGAAAAAAGAAAAAAGAAAAAAAATTAGTCGGACATGGTGTTGGTACCTGTAGTACCAGCTTCTTGGGAGGCTGAGGTGGGAGGATCACTTGAGGTCAGGAGTTCGAGGCTGCAGTGGGCTATGATTGTACCACTGCACTCCAGCCTGGGAAACAGAGTTTGAGACCTTATCTCGAAAGAAGGTAGGGAGGGAGGGCAGGAAGGAAGGAAGGAAGGAAGGAAGGAAGGAGAATTAAAGTCTTCAAGTTGCAGAGAGTCTTGAGTGGGCATCACTGGTGCCTATGAGCTATGCTAGATGACACAAGCAACTAATCATCATCCATAGAGTAAGCCTTTTGCCCACACACAATGTTCCCTTATAAATAATGAGCCTGGAGGATGCCCGATGGATTCTACTGCTTTTATTGATTATTACTTTCTTTAAACTTTAAACAATGTTAGCCATGGAGGATGATTAAAAAACAACGAATATCCTTGGAATATGTACATCCCATGAACGGATAGGAACCGACCCGGTCTTTCGTCACAGCAGGAATTCTCAGGCTGCACGCAATCAGTAGTTTATACTCCAAACACAACAATCACTTCCGTGCTAATCATCCATCCGGCAGATTCCCACCCATGGTTATCTGCTCTTGGAGAGCTTCAGCACTGGGGCCAATGCAGCCAGGAACGCATCCTCCGTCCGGCGGCTGGCGAGGCCCTAGAGGTGGGTGTCCGCGATGGGTATCCTCCTGAGCTCCACGATCTGGGAGTCAGTCAATGTGCCTCCCTCCTGGCTGCCCTGACCAGACTCGTTGTCACTGACACTGAGACCAGCACCTGCGACAGAAACAGAATAAATACAAGTCCCAGACCATGAGCACAGTGAGTTTTTAAGGGTCAAGCTCTAGTAAAAAATGAGCCATACATTTAGAATATATACTAATACCTAACAATTATGGAATTATATTTTTTAAACTTTGGTCGTTTTTTAAAGTAGAAATTAATTTCTGAAGACACATGCTTGGGTCTCAATGTTTTGCTTGTTTGCACGTGGTGGATAGGTGTAACTGACTACCAAGGGTGGTGTTTCTCAGTCTAGGGCTCTTCAAAGAGGAAAGGCAAGCAGGTCACTAAACTTCTTCAGAGGGGATGGGGTCCGTGAACACACAACCCCACATACCTGAGTCTAGTGGGTCCATCAGTGGGACTCAGAGTTGGGTGTGACCTGACAAGACAGGCATATGAAGACACCTGGCGCCCTGTCAGTGCCCTGAAGACACCGGGCTCGGAACAATTCAGATCTGATCCCAAGATAAAAATAATTACATAACACTGCGGTGGTGGCGGTGCTGAAACAGACCCCCAAGGGCCCACAAAGCTGCTGTCAGCTTGACAGCCCAGAGCCTCTGCTGGGGAAGGTGCATGGTGGTTTGCTAGACTTTTCGCAACTCGGAATAATTCAGAAAACTTAGAACTATGATAGATTCACAGTTATTCTTTTTTTGTTGTTTCATATTTGTAGTTAGAGAAGAATGTTCTTTTCTTCCTTTGTAAAGTACAGAGAAACGCAAACTCATGGTCTCTCACATACACACAGACAGAGAGGGAGACAGAGGAGAGACAGAGAGAGGAGAGAGAGACAAAGAAAGGAGAGAGAGGAGAGAGATAAAGAGAGAGAAAGGGAGGAGAGAGAGGAGAGACAGAGAAGAGAGAGGAGAAATGGAAAGAGAAACAGAGAGAGGAAAGTCAGAGAGGAGAGAGAGACAGATACAGACAGGAGTCAGAGAGAAAGAGAGGAGAGAGACAGAGAAAGGAGAGAGAGTGAGAGAGTGAGAGAAAGAGAGAGATAGAAAGGAGAGAGAGAGAGAGAGAGAGGGGAGAGACAGAGGGGAGACAGAGGGGGGAAAGAGACAGAGAGAGAGGAGAGGGGGGCATGTGGTCACAGGGTTGCCTGGCTCCCAAGCCCAGCCCCACTCCCTCTGCTGGGCTGGGGACTCTGCATACAAGGAGAAAAGTGAAAAGTGAAAAACCAGTTGTGAAGCCCAGACTCCCCTTCTTGTCTGAGACAAGCAAGGGTGATTCTGCAGAGCTGGCAGCGTGAGAGCCTAGTGATTTCTCTTGTCCTGACCCATGTGGAGCACCAGGGACCTCCTCCTGGCCCAGGCCCCTTTCTGCCTCCCACCCTGTCGGCCTCTCTGGTGGGGCTGCAGCCGACACTCCACCTCCTCCTGTTGCTTCTGGGACCCAGGACTAGCCTGACGCCGCCTCCTTTTAGAGTTCCTCTGTGCTTTCCAGAGCTCTTCTGCCTTCTCTCTTTGCACTCCCTCTGTGGTCTCACCCCGTGTCCTCCTTCAGACCTGCTTCAAGTCCAGGGGCCAGTCAGATCTCTGCCTGTGCTCCAGCCTCATGTCTCACCAGTGCTTCTGAGTTCAGGACACGGGGCTCCTGGCCACCTCTTTGTCACACTATGTTACTATGACAGTATCTCTGCCTGGGATGCTCTTCTTGCCTCAGCTTCTTTTAAAAAAAAAAAACAACAAAAAAACAGGGTCTCATTCTGTCACCCAGCTCACCGCACCCTTGACCTTCTGGGCTCAGGTGATCCTTCCGCCTCAGATTCTCAGTACCTAGAACCAGAAATGTGTGCCACTGCGTCTGGCTAATTTTTTGATTTGTTTTTAACAACGAGGTCTCATCAAGTTTCCCAGGCTGGTCTCAAACTCCTCCTGGATTCAAGCCATTCTCCATCCTTGGCCTCCCAAAGTGCTGTGATTACAGGTGTAAGTCACCGTGCCCGGCCTCAAAATCTTTCAAAATTCCACTCTGAATCCCACCTAACTTTGTTGAGCACACTGGGCTGCGGATGTTCACGAGGTCAAATAAGTCACTGTGGTTTGAGGGACGTCTCTCCAAGAGAAATTTATTGATGAGTTCCTTGGAGAGTCTGGATATTTTGGGCCTTGATTCTGAATGTCTTTGTTTATGCCCAGGGACTTGTCATCTATTTCCTCTAACTGCAAAATAAATAATTTCTAGATTTCCAATAGGGAAATGTTTATGGTGACATTTCTGTTACTGGTCTGAAGTAAACATCAGGAAGTTATGGTCCTGGGGACAGTAAGGAATGAGGTTGGTCACTCGGAGAGAAGTCCTCAGGAAGAAAACCCTGCTTTTAAGCCTGATATGCTCCAAGTTTGACATTTTCGGGAATCTTGTCAGTTTTGGATCCACATAAAAATATCAGTACTTGGTTAGGCAAAGTGGCTCATGCCTGTAATCCCAGCCCCCTGGTAGGCCAGGAGTTTGAGACCATTCTGAGCAACATTGCAAGACCTTAACTCTACAAAAAGATAAAAACACACCAAAAAATTGACCAGGCGTGGTGGCACACACCTATAGTCCCAGCTACTAGGGAGGCTGAGGTGGAAGGATCATCTGAGTTCGGGAGGTCAAGGCTGTAGTGAGCTGTGATCGTGCCACCACATTCCAGCCTGGGTGACAGAGTGAGATCTCGATTCAAAAGGCTGATGCATTTAATGAACAAATAAGAGAAGGATATTATGCCTGCAATTTTAAAGTGAAATACAGACTTCTTCTAGAAAGACAAATACTTTATTTTTAAAACGTTTAAAATGATAATAATGTTTTCTTTTTCTTTTAAAAAAATAATATGGTTAGGCACAGTGGTTCATGCCTGTAATCACTTTGGGTGGCCAAGGTAGGAGGATCACTTGAGCCCAGGAGATTGAGACCGGCCTGGGCAACATAGCAAGACCTCAACGCTACAAAAAATTAAAAAATTAGCTGGGCAGAGTGGCTCATGCCTGTAGTCACATCGACTCAGGAGGCTGAGGTGGAAGGATCTCCTGAGCCCAAGTGGTCGAGGCTAGAGTGAGCTGTGATCGTGCTACTGCACTCCAGCTTGGGTGACAGAGTGAGACCCTAACTCCAAAAAAAAAAAAAAAATCAATATGGTAAGCTGGGCTCAGTGGCTCAGCCTGTAATCTCGGCACTTTGGGAGGCTGAGGCAAGTGGATTGTCTGAGCCCACGGGTTCGAGATCAGCCCGGGCAACCCGGTGAGACCTCATCTCTACAATAAATCAAAAAATCGGCTGGGCATGGTAGCGCACGCCTGTAGTTCCGGTTACTTGAAAGGCTGAGACAGAAAGATCACCGGAGCCCAGCAGGTTGACGCTGGGGTGGCCGTGAGTGTGCCATTGCACTCCAGTCTGGGCGATAGAGTGAGACTCCAACTCAAAAATAAAAAAATCAATATGGTTGAAATTCAGGTAGACCAAGAAGACCAGGCCTGGCTTTGGACTAGAGCTTCTATTTTAAGTAAAACTATTTTAACATACTTGCCTTTATTGCAATTTTGAAATATGTAAAAATGTGTGCACAAATACACTGCCCTCAAAAACACTGTCTTGCTCACTTCAGAATTCATTTGTAGCTGATGACCACAAAGTTGGAGTCTGCTGGCACCTTAGTAGATGCTTATAAAGGAGTGATGGTGTTTTTTCAATTTGGTAATTGGCTACCTGAGCATTCCCTCTTAGATCTAGTCTTTCTCACAACTAATCTTAATGTAATTAAAAAGAGAATGTCTTTGCTAAAGAGTATTAGGTCTACTGCCTGCCCCTAGAGCACCAGCATTCTGACATTAAATTCTCTCTCACACCCGGTAAGGGTGTTCTAACTATTGAATTAAGTCAAGTATTTTAGTATGTGATTGGATATGTCAGCATTATTCCTAATTTAAAGGTGATGCGTTCTAAGAAAGATTAAAAGGGCACAGGAAATGCTATCAATGGCTATTGAAAGACCTATTTAGTTAGTTCCCTTTCCCAAAATCGATCAATCCATCCATCTAGCCATCCAACCTTTCACCTACCCACTCACCCATTCATCCATCCAACCATCCATCCCCCCACCCACCCACTTACCCATCCATCCTTCCACCCATCCAATCTTTTCATCCACCTACCCAACCACTCACCCACTAAACCATCCATCCGCCCATCCAATCCACTCATCCACCTACCCACCCATCCATCTACTCACCCATCCATCCATCCACCTACCCATCTACCCACCCCCATCCATCCACCCACTTGCCTGCCTGCCCATCCATCCATGCATCCATCCATGCATCCATCCATCCATCCATCCATCCATCCAATCCACTTTTGTCCACCCACCCATCCATCCAGCCATCCTACATGGAGTATGAACCTAGATACCCAGGACTGTTATACACCCAGGGTCACTGAGATGAATCCTAGTCTTGTAGAACACAGCTTTGGCCCAGGACTAGGCCTGCTTCTTATTTCAACATGATCATCTGGCCGCTTTTCCTGCTTCTAAGTGGAATGTGTGCTTGGATGGGCCATGCTTCCTACAGGGCAACCTATTTCCTTGCTTGTGACTTATTAACCTGTCTTGACAAATTCTGTTCTCTCTGACACATATTCTAGCGCAGGAATTAGGGAAAGGGAATTACATAGGACAAGTCTGGTTAACAGGTGGTTGTTACACAACACAATCTGAGAAGGATAAATAAGTATCTTCCTATCTGATCCAACCAATGTCAGAAATCCCAGTTAAAGATGCATTTTCTTTCTACCTTGAAGGTTTTGGTCCTGAAGAGTCTTCCACTAAAATATAAAAACCACGGAAAAAGCTTCTACCATCTACCTGTGTTTATAGAATATTATGAATTTTTTTTTTTTTTTGAGTTGGAGTCTCACTCCGTCGCCCAGACTGGAGTACAAGTGGCACACTCCCAGTCACCGCAGCCTTGACCTGCTGGGCTCAGGCGATCCTTCTGCCTCAG